GCAGAAGCTGCTAGAATCCCCTAGGAAAGATTTGACTTCCTGCCTTGAATTCACATACAATGCCTGCAGTTGTGGCCTCTAGGTTTTGACCAAAGGCCAAGAAAATCAGAGACCTGAGCCTGTGAGCAGTGCCAGCAGCTCCCCACTGCAGACTTGAGAAAAATTAACTTCTGTTCTATGCAACCCATGGTCAGAACTGTCACTTGCAGCCAAAAGCATTTGGAACTGATACAATTGGCCAAGTGAATTGATGTAATGGTCTCCCCAACAGGATGAATGAAAAATATGACTTGTTCACCACTGTGTGCCCACCTGTGCCCTCCCTACCAGCACTTGGCAGATGGAACTGCACAGATGGACTGAGTGATTGTCTCTTCATCCAAAAGTTAACTAACCATACCTTCCTCTTGGGTTCACTGATAATGCACATTAAGTACCTAAAACAGTGCTTGGCACATAGTAAGCCTTCAACAAATACAGGGGAATGTCTCCACCAAGATCTGTAGTAATCTCAAACCCAGGCACAGGGGCCACACAGGAAGCTGGATCCACAGTGACTCATTCCTGGCAGTACACCTCGTGATCCTCCAGAAGGTGAAAGATGGGTGGGTGGGCAGTCAGCCAGAGGTCACCCCTGACTCACTGCAGTGGCCCAGTTTTCTGTTGTTCTTTCTTTTCTTTTTTTTTTGGTGCTGGGGATTGAACTCAGGGCCTTGGCATGCAAGGCAAGCACTCTACCAACTGAGCTACATCCCCAGCCCCTTGTGTTGTTATTTTTTGACATGCATGACAAAGGTCATGGGGCCTGGCACCTGTGGCTAGCTTTTCTTCTGCTGTTAATGTTAACAATTAAATGGTCTGAATCTAAAAGTGGCTCTTTTATTTTTACCAATTGAGTTTGTCACTTTTCTGCCAAGTGTATGCACATGACAACGAACAAAGTCTGTAATCTTTATTACTGTCTGTGCTGAGAGTCCCACTCCCCGACTTCTCCAAAGACGAAACACACAGGTCAGAGAAAACTCCACTTTTATTTCTGCTCACAATCTCCCAAAGGATCACACCCCCTCACCTAGATGCAGCCCCTCCCCACAAACCTTCACAAAACACTGATTTTTCTCCCAGAGCTAAATGATCCCCCAGTCACTAACTATAGCCATCCCCTTTCCTCCCCATTGGCCTGCAGATCTGCCTGCTCTGTGTATGTGGCTCCCTCCAGGAAACGATTCCCAAGGACACTTGGCTTGCTTTTTCACCTATATTACATGGGTCCCCTTCCCCGCCCCCCACTTGGGTTTTATTTGCACAGTCTCCCTACATGTCTTCCTGGCCTCACAAGCCTGCTCTGTCTTGTAGTCAGTCCACCCCACCAAGGGCACCTGCAAGAAGCCACTAATTCGAAATTTGAGAGAGCAGGGCTCCTGGCTCTCACTGCTCTGAGCTCCCTGTGGGCTCTGGCTCCTCACTGTAGTGGTGGGTGTCAGTGTTGACTAAGGCTAAACATTCCCATGAGGGGCACAAAATCCAGAATAGGCAAGAGGAGACAAGGACAAAAGCAGGTGTGGGGGGGGGGGCAGAATAAGGATAGAGGCCAAGGGATGCAGGAGGACCCCTCCTCCCACCTCAGCCCCAGGACAAAAATGGACCTGAGCTGATGAGCAGCCCCTAGAACCCAAAGGCCTAGCCCCTAGCTGCTGCGGATCCTCTGGCTGCGGGCCTTATACACCTCGATGAGCAAGTCCTTGACGTACTGGATTTCCCGCTCCACCGACTCAGCCCTCTCCCTCAGCTCCCGGTTCCTCGCCTCCAGCCCCTGGCACTCGCCTTCCAGGGCCTCGCCCTCTGCCCGCTTCCTCTGGCGGTACCTCAGAGCTGCTGACTTGTTCTGGTCTCTCTTCTTCTGCTTGCGGTCCCCTCGGGCGGTAGCAGGATTTGGATAGGGAGTTGGGCGAGAGGACTGAGGAGGAGGAGGAGGAGGAGGAGGAGGAGGAGGAGGAGGCTGCTGCTGCTGAGGTGGGGCCAGGGGCACCAAGCCCACTTCCTCCTGTCCAACCTCGCTGCGGCAGTAGATGGCCAGCAGGTCGAGGGTATCCAGGGCAGGGGGCTGGGGGAGGTCAAAAGTGGGGAAGGGGAGGGGGAGGGAGGGTGGGGGTGGTGGTGGTGGTGGTGGTGGTGGTGAAGGTGGAGGGAGGAGTGGGCCCTCAAGGAAGAAGTCTTCCATCTGCTCCAGCTCCTTCTTGAGCAGGGAAGCCATGGCTTCCAGGTCAGGGGGAGGTGGGGAAGGTGGGGGCAGGGCACCTGGGGGCAAGGGAGCCTCCAGGGGGAGGAGGGCTGTAAAATCAACTCGCTCAGTCATCCAGTCAGAGAAGCCGTCACCTAGGGAGTGGAGGGGGGACATAAAGTGCCCTGAGTTTCTGGGTCCTCCACCCAATCAAGTGATCACTTATATGTCTTGTCTCAGGCTCATTTGTCTTATTCAATCAGTCAACCAACTAATAAGTCATCAAACCAGTCGACAAGCCACACAGTAAAGGAACAAATGAACCAGTCAACCAAATAACCAATCAGTCATCCAACCAACCATTCAAGGAATCAACTAACCAATCAACCCATTAACTAATTTTAGTTGACTAAACCAATAAATCAACCAAAGAATAAAAGAGTTAACCAAATAATGACCCCATTGTTAATAAAACAGTCAACCAACCATTTTTTCAATCATCTGGTACACTCTTTCCTGAGAGCCTATATCTGTAGTTTCTCCAATTTATTCTCTATTCTTAAAAGGCAAGCAAGATCACATCACACCCAAACACACACACCATTTCAGTTTTCTTCATTTCTCCTTTTTTTTGAGACTGGGTCTAGTTCAGGCTAGCCTTGAACTTCTGGGCTCCACAATCTTCCTGCCTCAGCCTCCCAAGCAGCTAGGAACACAAGCACATGCTACCATATCTGGCTATTTATTAATTATTGAAAACCCACTATGTGCCAAGCATTTGGGATATAGTAATGGATATGTTAATTTTTGCATCAGGATCCCTGCATATGTTCTTCTCTCCCCTAAAATGTTCTTTCTTTGGTCTTTTCATGCTTACTTCTTCTCATCCTTTAGGCCTCCGTCTGTACATGACCTACTTGGTGGTTTCCTGGCTACCTGAACTCTGAACCAGGAGGCTGCTGAGGTGGGGCGAGGGGCATCAAGCACACATCCCCCTGCTCAACCTCCCTGCAGCAGGAGATGGCTAGCAGGTCAAGGGAATCCAGGACAGAGGACTGGGGGAAGTCAAAAGTGGGGAAGGGGAGGAGGAGGGAACATGCTTGTGGGGGGGGGGAAGGTGGGGGGAGGAGTGGGGCCTCATTTTTAAGTGACTGCTGTGTTTTCCACTTCTCCCAATACATAATCTTTTGTCTCTTGCCTGTTTCCCCACTACACTGTGAGCTCCAAGAGGACAGGGATCATGTTACTTTTGCTCCCTGCTTTATCTATGGCACCTAAACAGTGCCTGGCACATTGTAGGCCCTCAATAAATACTCATCAAATGAACAAGTAAAGGAATGATGAATTCTTCCTTTCCCCCACCCCCAAGCCCCTAGCACACCCCATTCCAATCTCCACCTGCCCTTACCTGCCAGAGGCTCTCCTCCCCCTGGAAGCCCACCCTCCAGGGCTCCCCCAAGGACCTCATAGGGGCCCAGGGGGGCAGGGGCCAGGGGGAGTTTCCCATAGTCTACCAGCCAGCCCAGTCCGCTAGCTGGGACCAGGGCCCTGTCTAGCTCCAGCCCCAGGGTCGCCAGGAGTGACATGACTGTGGCACAGGCGCTGGGCACCGAAGGCAGAAGAGGTTACACCAACAGCTGGGAGGAGGCTCTGTGGGCTGCTCAGCTGGGCAAAGACAGGCACCAAGGCAAAAGTGGAGTACCTGCACAGGAGACAAGAGGGTATCACGTCACGGTGAAAGGAAAACCAAGCCACACCCCATGCCAATGGGGCTCCTCCCTCCCCCTTCCAAGGGAGGTTTGGAACCAAGTCTTGTCCCTTCTGAATTCTAAATCTGCCCTTTCTTTCCCCAAATTTCTGACTCCCACCCATTCCCAAGGGAATTCTTTTCTTTTGATTCCCCAAGGTCCACCTCTTCCCCCAATACAGAACCCTAATGGTTTCTCAAGGGAATTACCTTGAGCCCCTCCCACCCACTTCATAATATTCTTCATAAAAAAATTCAATCCCAGGGGAATTTTCTTCCAGCCATGCTCTTTCCTAATACTTCCATTAGGCCCAATTCCCTTCCTAGATTCCATCCCAAATCAGTTCCCAGGGGAATTCTCCATGCCCTGTCCCTTCATCAAGGTCATCCACTCCAATTCCACTTTTCTCTTTCAACTTTAAGGCGACTTCGGATGTCCCCACAAGCCCCCCCCCCCCCCCCAGGACTTCCCCCAAGAGCCTCTTCGCTAAAGCTGTGGACTTGAGCTCCATCCCCTTAATGACAGGTGGCTCCTACGCCCCGCCCTCTGTACTGTCAATCTAGGCTACTCCGTGCCCCAGCAGATGTCTGCTTGAAATAAGGGAGTAAAACTGTGAGCCAGAAGAGCCACGTGGAGACCGGGAGACTGAAAGGGAGGGGCCGAGAACAGCAGCCCAACCCCCACCCCTCGTGCGGTTCTCTCGCCGAGCGTTAAAGCGCATGCTCCGTTCATAGAGTCGTTCATTGTTCTAGCAGGCCTCAGCCTTCCTGGGGATCAGTGAGCATGTGCAACCGTTTATAGCCCACCCCTCATAGTACAGGGTTCTGGTGGGCTCATGCGCAGGAGCACCGCGAGTGGACGAAATCGTTCAGAGGAAAAAAACAACTACCCCCTCTGGAGGCTGGTGCGCAGGCGCAATCGCACGCGGGCCGACCTTAAACAGCAACTCACGGAAAGAACTCACCCTCCCCCCACCACTCGGGCCAAGTGCGCATGCTCAGCCGCGCGCCGACGGCCGTCGTCCCTCTTCTGCGCCTGCGCGACCGTGATTCCCTGCCGGCGTCTCCCCACCCTAAGGCCCTGTTGGAGTGCCCCGAGCTGCTAAAGGGCGGGAAAGGCAGTTGAAGAGAGGCGCGAGCGGCTACTCACTCCATGGCTGTGGAAAGGAGAGGCGGCGGCTGCCTCGATTGAAGAAAGACGGTGGAAGCGGAGAGCGTTGGCGCGGTAAGCGCGGAGAGGAGCCGGGGGCACTAACGGGTCGCGGCTACAGAGCCATGGCCGAGGCTACGCGGGCGGAGGCGGCGTCTCGGTAGCGTGAGGAGAGGCTGTGATCAGAGGACGGGGAGTGAGGCAACCTCGGGGACTGGGGACAGATATACAGGGGGCGGCGCAGCACGGCCCGCTCGGATCCTTCCGCGCCCCGCCTCCGCGCGGCCCCAACGGGAGGCGATCCGGCCTCCTCTCCTGGATTCACGAATCTGAACCCCAACCCCCAACGACCTGTGGGGTTCTCGGGTCTACCCCCTTTGACCTGGGGGCCGTCCCCCTCCTTATAACTCTGAAGTTGCCACCTTCCCGTTGATTCTAGGGTCGAGTTCCTTGCTTGACTCCGAGGTCCTGGCCCTCTTTCCTCTTTATGATTTTGGAGATCTGGCCCCATTCTCTTACCTCAAACTCGCAACAGTTCATTTCTATAAAATGAGGATAAAAATCAACTCTACTTGGCGGACTTCTTTGTGGAAATCAGACTAGGTGATGTCAGCGAAGCCCTAAGGAGAGCTTGGCTCCTCCGTTCCTGTTTAAGGTATTTTATTATTAATAACAACTCTAGGATCCAGTCTCATTCTAGGGCCCTCCTTTGCCCCCAGACAGTTGAACATCCAACACCATCCTGAAGATAGTCATTCTCACATCTCTAGTGAAATTGGAACAGAGTGGCGTGACCAGTGCTCAGCCCGTTCCTCCACAGAGCTTCAGGTCCCAGTGTTCTTTTCTCCACCCCTGATCACCTTTTAAAGAGGGGCCATGGTAACCATCCTTCATGTTTCTCCCCATGCCTTGGCCCTCCACCAGCCTGGGTGGGTGTGAGTCTTTCCTCTGTTGCAGAAACCCCTTCCTTTCCCACCCTGCATCCAGCTACATTAGAACATTGCACATAGGGTTTAGCTTTTTTCCGTGGCAGTTAAGAAACTGACTTCAGGATACAAAGAAGGTAGGGGAACCAGTGGTAGTGGTGCACACCTATGATCCCAGCCATTCTGGGGGCTAAGGCAGGAGTATTGCAAGTTCAAGGCCAGCCTTAACAACTTAGGGAGACGTTGTCTCAAAGAACTGGGGATGTAGCTTAACAGTAAAGCGCCCAAAGTTCATGCCCCAGTACTGAAGGTGGTGGGCAGGACTCCGATCTGATCTTTATCGCTACAGGCAGATTACTTCACCCTCCACACCCTTTTTCCTAGTTGCATGCAGGATGTCCTTGGAATCTGATCACCTTCCTTTAGAGCACTTTTTGAGTTCTATATTTTCTTGGGCCTGTAGGGGCTATATTATAACATAGGCGGTATAGTGTAGAAATTAAGATGATTCTGGAGCCAGGTTTTTTGTGTTTAAACCGTGCACCACACTTGCTAGCTGTTATGACCATGACAGTTTTCTTTCACTATGGCTGTTTTCTCTGTAGTTAAAAGTGATAGTTATAGTACCCTTTAGGCTGTTATGAGGATGAAGTGAGTGATTTAGTCCACATTAAGCCTTTATAGACTAGTGCCTAGCATATAGTAGGTGCTGCATAGGGGTTGTTACTATTATCATTGAGGTGGATATGTTCTGTCTTTGCTGCTAACTAGTGTTTTAAAACTGATTGCTGGGCATGGTGGCACATGCTTATAATTCCAGCCTACTCAGGGTGCTGAAGCAGGAGGATTGCAAATTTGAGGCCAGCCTCAGCAACTACATTCCCAGCCCATAGGTCTTGTTTAGAAAAGTTACAAAGATATTTCTTCATGCCCTCACCCAGTTTTCCCCCTTGTTAACATTCTGTATTATTACTAGGACACATTTGTCTCAAACATTAATTAGTGCATTACCTTTGACTAAATGCCACTCTGTTCCAGTTTCACTAGTGGTTCCCTAATGCCTTTGTTTTCTGTTAACTGGGAAAACCAAGTGCAAAAATATAAAGTAAACAAAAATGAAAAAAATTAAAACAAAAAAACAAGTGTAATCGTGCTTGTTGGTGATCCCAGCTACTCTGGAAGCTGAGGTAGGAGGATTGCAAATTCAAGGCCAACCTCACCAATTTAGTGAGAGCGAGCCTCGAAATAAAATAGGGCTGGAAGGTTGTTCAGTGGTAGAGTGCTCCTGGGTTCAGTCTCCAGTACAGTACAAACAACCCCCCCCCCCCCAAAAAAAATAGAAATGCCCTTTCTCAGTAGGAGAATCTTGTTTCTGGCTATATGTGGCACATACTAACTGAGAAGGTAATGGTGCCAGGACTCTGGCCCCTCTGTTTCATCCTCTTGTGCCCTTTTCTCTCTAGCTAAGAGAAAAGGGCGCAAGTTCACCTGTGCCTCTACCTAAGCAGTTTGACTTGGTTTTGCTGAGTGGGTGCCAATTCACACACTTAGCTATCCAGCCTTTCCTAGCATATTCTAATTTGTGATGGTGAGTTATCAGTGGCTCCCTGCCACCCCAGCTCTTAGAATCCTGATCCCTTACCAATATCTGTTCCTGACCTAGACCCTCTGGACTCAGATGCCTTGACCTCTCCCAGCCTCACAAAGTCTTCTAGGGTCCAGGTGCCCAGCTCTTTAGCTCTGGTAGGAGTTTGGAGCAAGGGTGGGGCTGCTGGGGACTCTTTTTCAGTGCGGAGGGGCCTAGCTTGGGGAGTGAGGTGGCAGTTGCAGTCAGGTTGCATCAGCCCTGGCTCCTTGAAGGGGAGGGGGAGTAAAGGAATTCTCTGGGGACCTCCGAGCACCTGGCAGTGGCTCCTAGGTAGCAGAACTCTGGATAAAGGCAAGGATCCAGCACAGCAAGGGAGCAGGGGTGCAAAGGGGGAGGGAGACTAGCCATCTGCAGGACCCTGATAACCTGAGACTTGATGCCAAAAAAGGGCCTCACATCACAGAAGCCCCCAAATTGGCTTTCAGGAGACAAGACTGAGGCCTCAAGAGATAAAGTGGGTTGTGCAGAATCAATTACTCCTTAAATAGAGCCCAGGTATCATGGTGCTGCACAGCTTCCAGGACCCCATGAGACCTTTAAGCCTGGACCTTCAACTCAGATTTGCTGCTGCTCACAATTGCCAAATTCTATTGATCTCCACTTGCCCCTTGCCATCCTGTCTGCCCTCGAGAAGGCCCTCTTCACCTGCCCTATTGCAGCAATCTCTCGCTGGTTTCCTAATCTGGGTAGCTTAGCCTGATAGAAAACACTCTTGAATTTTGTGTCTGATGGATTAATGTTCTGGTCCTGAACTCACAACATTTAGTTCTAATTAGGGTTAGAAGCAAAGGTCTACTGTGCCTAAGCCTCAGCTGCCTTCTGCAGAGTGGGTCAGAGCAAGCCTGCTAGATTCACATCCTAGCTCTGCTCCTCTTTGACCCTTGGTAAGTGTCATTATCTCTGATTATTTCCTCACTCATAAAATGGGGCTAAGAAGACCCACCTCATAGGGTAGTGATGTACATTAATATATGTAAAATGCCTAAAACAGCTGGGTATGTGGGAGGTACCCTCTGAGCATTAGATCTTTTTGTATAAGATGCCAGGTGCTGGAGGATTAAGGACATGACACAGGTAAAGCCCAGTTCTTACTATGAACTCAGGGTCTATACATGCTTCTTTCTCTTCCCATTCCCTTTACACTTTGTACTGCTTTCGGAGCCATCTCAGAGACAGATGTTAGTGTACATGATTGATGCCCCAAACGCTTACAGTGTGTCACTAACTTCCTCTTTGCTAGAATTGTTCGCCACAATTCCTAACCCTGTGCAATCACCTCCATGAGTGTAAATACATTTCTAATGAGTTGCACTTGCACAAAGGCTGAAGAATTTGCTCTCCTGGTCACTGATCAATGCCAGGAAAGGTAACTGGGTCACACAGGCCATGGGGGCAGGGGTTGGAGGTGGGTATCCTGACAAACAAGGGCAGGAAGGCCAAGGCCTGCTTAGCTGGGGAAAGAACAGTGCAGGGGCTGGGCAGGCAGAGCACAGGCTGGCCGCGTGGCCCAGTGGCTCAGAGTCCTCCAGAGCCCCTCCCCTGCCCTCAGATTACCTCAGCCCCTCTTCAGAAATAGTCACAGCTCTCAGAGACTGGTTAGGCCCATGTTCCTGACCAGCTTTGGCATCTTGAATGTTACCAACTATATTAGTTTCTTCTTATTGCTGTGATAGGTTGCCACAAATTCAGTGGCTCAGAACAACACACCTTTACTGCCTGATGATGCAAGAGGACAGAACTCTGTTCTCTCTGGAGGCTCTAAGAGAAAATCTGTGTCCTAGTCCTTATTAGTTTCTAGAGGCTGCCTCATTCTTTGGCTTTTGGCTTCTTCCTCACATCACTCTAGCTTCTTTTATTGTCATACCTCTTCATTTTCCTGCTCTCCCTCTAATGAAGACTCTGTGATTGCATTTAGAGCCTGCCTGGATAATTCAGGATGATTTCTGCATCGAAGATTCTTAATTTAATCATGTCTGCACAGAGTCAATAAGGTAATTGGGGCTAGGACATAGACAACTTTGGGCAGCTGTTATTCAGCCTACATATCCTTCCTCTCATAGTCTGTTTCCTTATCTGGCAGGTAAAGAATGGGCCAGGCCTGGGTGCATCCTCCCTTGCATCTCCACAGGGACTGGAAATGGGAAAAGAACAGGGCAGACTGATGACAGTTGACAGCCTAATGTTCTGGAGCCCAGAATGCCATCACTAATTGTGTGGCTCCACCCCTCTGTGCCATGGTTACCTGATCCGGAAAATGAGGACAATGGCAGAATTCCCTCAGAGGACAGTGATCAGGATCAGAGTTAACACATGGGAAGGTCTAGACCAATGTCTGACTCAGCAAGTATGAGCTGCCCCAAGACAGGGCTTTCACAGACCCAGAAAGAGTGGTGGGCCCCCAAAGCACAGGGACCACCTGGAAGGCACAGATACTACTTGGGGACAACCTTTTATACTAGGCAGCAACACCAGACTAACAGTACAGATTTTACAAGAGGGGT